GTGTCTTATCAAGTGGTGTTGTTGATTGCGAAATAAAGAGTTTTTGAGAAAATTCAAAACCAAATTAAAGCCCTGCAATAGAGGAAACCTTGTTAGGTAACCTATGATTACCAATCAGAATACAAGTATGTGAAAATTCAAAAAACGTTACAGTGTATTCTTAAATCAAATCGTTAGTTGATCAAATTTAATGATAGATAAACTAGAAATCAATATGAAATAAATTAATAATAATTTTAATTTCACGGTAAAATTTAAAATTCTGAATTAAACTGAGCATTGGGTTTAAAATATTACAAAGTTATTAAAAAATGGAACGGAGAAATTCGATGCTGATGTGAAAAGTATCAATAAACGCTACAAACTTAAGGAACGAGTGAGTTAGATAATGCAGACAACAAGACAAACACATTCGCATCCTAATACACAGACACATAAATATAACTAAGCATATATGCACGCAAATATAAGAACGACACAGGAAATAAGAGAAGAAAACGAAAGAAAGAAAAAAGAAATGAAAACAAAAAAGAGGAAAAGGAAAATAGAAAAAAATTCAAAAAATCCAAAAAAGGAAAATAAAATAAAAGTAAAAATGAAGAATAAAAAGAGAAAAAAAGGAAAAAAACAAAACAAAAAAAACAGAACAAACAAAAACGTAAAAGGAAATTACATCCGAAACAAGCGTATACAAGTCAAACTAAATACAAGCAATCACACACTCGTAGCCACATACAAATAAACAAGGAGCCGTTAAACACTTGCATAATTTCCTCCTTTCGAACATTTCTCTTAACAATTTTAAAATAATTCAGCAGACGATATTTTTTTAATTTATTACTCGGTTTCCGTCGTACGATACTGTCCGTCTGAAAAAATGACTTTTATTGCTGTCACTTTCTCTTCTTGCCCGTTTGGCTGAGATCAAAGTGCAGTATCTGTTCTTATCAGCTTACTCTAATTCTCTCTCTCTCTCTCTCTCTCTCTCTCTCTCTCTCTCCATCTTCACTTCTTTCTTCTGTCTTTCATTTTATCACTGAAACCAAGTAATGTCTTTTCCCTTCTTTCACGCGATCAAAACGCGGAATAGTTCATTAGGTAGTGACAGGACATAACGGTCGTGCTAACTAACGGAGAGGGGGGAAAGACAATTATAATAGGATTTGATTTATTCCTCCTCAGTAAGATTTTCTCAGTTACTTTCACACTGTTGTCTTTAATCCTCAGCAGCTCTTTACGTTTTAGTGGCTTTATTTCCTTGCTTGACGTGAAATGAATAAAAAAGATGTTCGCCTTATTTAAGCCCTTTGTAAGCCTTATTTAAACATCAGCTCAAGGTTAAGATCAAATCATAAATGGAGACTTTGCAGTGAAAGCTGAATAAACGTGGAAGGACTTCATTATAAAAGAGGAGTTAAGTTCGAGTATCATGTTAAACCTATTAATACCCACCAAAAAATACGATATTAATTTTAAAAAAGTTGAAATAAAAATCAGAGATTGATTATAGGTTTATAAAAATCAGTTTTCAATTATAAGTTTCTATCAATAACTATTAATACCTACCGTCTTGGGATGCTGGGCATTAATAAGTTGAGGCAACTGGTTAGGAAACTTATAAAATTTATATATATACACGCTCCATTTCTTTATTAAACTATATATTTATTTATTTTCGTCTACTGGTCTGAATATTCGAGAAATTTTATTAAAGAAAAGATGTGAGCGAGTTGGTCTAAAGTTAATCGGATCTAACGAACGTAACCTTTACTGAAGTAGACACGGGTTCGAATCCTGCCGGAGAGCGCATAGATTTCTCTAATAAGATTACTTGAATAATCAGGCCAATAGACTAAAATGGATAAATAAACGGTTTAATAAATAAACGGAGCATCTACTCAAATATGAGTATCCACTAAAAATAACGTTTAAGTAATAAAAATCTGTCGGATTAATAAAGATCCTTTCAAGTCCTTTCTTTATATATATATTAAGAAATGGAGAAAGTCCGACAATTTTTATTTATTAAAGACATTTTTATGTTTAACGTTCTTTTTATAGATACAAGTATTTAAGTAAATGCTCTGTTTATAATAAACAGTATTAAATAACATTTACCGGCCTGAATGTCCGAGAAATTTTCATAGAAAATATTCGTCCTTTGACAGGATTCGAACCTGCATCCTATACGAAACCGTCATTTACGCTGACGTGCCTTGACCGCTCGACCACAAAGGATCGTTCGGTTGGCAAGGACGAATATTTTTCATGAAAATTTCTCGGACATTCAAACCGGTAAATGTTATTTAATATTGTTTATTATAAACAGAGCATTTACTTAAATACTTGTATCTATAAATGAACGTTAAATATAATATATATATATATATATATATATATATATATATATATATATATATATATATATATATATATATATATATATATATATATATATATATATAATATATAATTAATTACATGTCAGCCCAGCCTAAGTTAAGGGAGAATAGTATTAAATGTAGCACAAGGCTACCGAAAGTATGTGTCACCCAGTGAGGGTCGAACTCACTCCTCAGTCGTAATTGTTCTAGCGAAACAAACTTATTAACCACGCCTAGGTGTCTTTATTTTGTCATGCGTAACTTAATGCAGGAATTTTTACTGATTGATTTTTAGTAGTTCTCTTAATTTCTGTTGCCTACTTTTCATATTTTCTGTTAAATGACAGAAATGAAAATTCTTTACTGATGTGAGAATATATCGATTACTTTTTAATTATTACTTATGTTTATATTTAATTTATTTTTATGTAATGTATCGTATTACTCTATAGCCCATTAAATTATATTGTCACGAGCGAAGAAACACAGATTTTTTTTTTTTAGATTTTTTTTTTTTTTTTTTGCAAATATATTTAATTTCATTTAAATCATCGGACATTTAAAAAATATATATCAGCTCTTTTTTGTTAATTCGCCCCAAATAATGTAACGTTACTTAACGCAAATATTAATTCACCCCAAGAAATTCTAAATTTTAAATCAAAGTTTGTTTGTGTTTTTTTTTTATTAAAGTTTTAGAACTTTTTTTGAAAGTTTAAATTTTAAATCAAAATTTGTTTTATCTTTCCTCTCAACAACTCCAACCCTCAGAATAAAAAATACCAAAAAATCAGGGAGTTATTCACATTTCGTAAATGCAGATGATATCCGAGGTATTTACAAGGATTTTTTTTTTTTACATTAAAAAGAAAATTCGTTTTTGGCGTGTGCATCGGGCTGAGACGCGAACTTAGACCTCATATTTAGAAACCGAGTCGACCACATTTGAAGCGATCGCAAAGCTCAACCCAACCGACATGGAATGGTAGAACTTTGCTCAGGGAGAATTTGATGTGAATTTTAGTAAATATAAATTCTTTTTTATTTGGGGGTGAATTATCCAATATATTTATCATTATATTAATAGTCTGTATTTAACCCCTTTCACGTGAAATTATAGACAATGTTTTCAGTTAGAAGTTTTATAAAGATGATTTACTTTTTGTTTAAAACTAGCATAAAATATTACAGAATAAATGCGATATTATGATGAAATAAACAGTGATAAAAGCAACTAAGTACAAAAAAACAAATTTCACATGCCAGCAATTTTTCTACCTCATGTCATGTATTTTAATTATTACCCAAAAACAAACGAAGTTTCTTGTGGGTTACATGTGACAATGTCTAAATAATAAATTCTGTAAGAACATCGATAAAACTACATCGAAGAGATTTGAGCGTCGACTAATGTTGAACATGTTAGCGACTCTTCACAAATTTAGAGAAAAATATTAGGGTGTTCGGAATGTAATTTACGTATTTCCCCGCTATGATTTATGCGTCAGAAAACCAACGCTGAACTAATGATTAATGACAGGAAACCGCTTTTAGTGTCAGTTTATTATCGCTTCTATTCCAACAGCTTCTTGTTTATAGAGCATTTCAGAGTTTAAATGAAAAGATTGCAAAGAGAAAATTTAGGTTCTTCATGAGCTTTCACCTAAAAAACGAACACAACCTTAAACCATCTGAAGCGATCATTTAACCAGAAATGTCAATCGTTTATCTTTGCATCGCATTGTTACATGTGATGAAAAATGGGATTTGCAGGTAAACGGAAAACGAAAAAGACAGTGGTTATCACAAAATGAGAAACCAGTGCCAAAACCATAACCAAGTCTCTATCCACCGAAATCCTTGCCTTATGTCTGAAAAATGTCGTCCCGTACGAACTACTCGAACATGGAAGGATCATCATTTCAGTTGTTTATTGTTAGAAACTTGGTCGAATAAATGAAGCATTAAGTCGAACGTGTCCTATTTTGGTAAAGTAAATGTGTTATTCTCCAGCATGAAAATGCAAGGTGACACCCTGTTAAACAAATCAAAGAAAATATAAGATCGTTAGGACAGAAGGTTCATTCAACATCGTCCATATTCATCAAATTTAGCAACTACACAATTTTGAATACTAGAACATTTTAAAGCATTTCACCACAAGCAAAGTGATAATGCCACTATGGGGGCTACTAGGAGTGAAAGAGATCGAGAAGAATTTACAAGGAACCGGAAACCCAATCCTAAACAAGAAACAAGGGATAAACCACTATTCCTGTTCAAAAGAGTGGGTAGAAGTGAAAACCAGACGATTGTTCGTTGTTTTTTATTTAGCGGCATATCAACATCGATGGATTATTTAATGAGAAAAAAAAAAAAAAAAAAACCTAAATATTTTATACGCAATTTTATTTTATTTTGGAAGCTAATAATGGTTTAGTGATACATTTCTCATTAATTAACCCATAGTTGTGGGTAGAATCGATAAATGAATTCCTTTCCCAATGGCATTTGCGTGTAAGTGAATATAATGAACCCAATTGGATTTAGAACTCGTCTCTACGATTAACAATTCCGAGTTGTTATCCATTACACCACCAGCAAATCTAAGCTTAGAGTACCTGGTATTCTCAAGCGGTCACCAATCTAGGTACTAACCAAGCTCGACGCTGCTTAACTTCGGTGATCGTATGGGAAACCGGTGTCTCAATGTGATATGACCGTGAGCCTCAGGGGGTAGGTGAACCTATCTGCTCCTCACCGAAACAAGCTGATAGTTGATAACAGTCATTTAAAATCTTTCAGAAGAAAACTCAAAGGTGTAATCAAAAATGCATGGAAATCATTAAAAATTTCTTTTTTTTTTATCAATATTAGTTCTGTTAAATTATATTTAACTCACATTTGTTTTCATATCCTTTCTGGTAAAATGTAATTACTTTCTGAACACATAAACATATTTTAATTTCTGATAGCGACAACCTTTTTGCCCGTATCATTCAAGCTAGTCTCGACCTAGCCAAAAGGCACTTCATAAAAGTGTGTTAACCCAGTTCAAGATTGTAGATGCAAGGGTTGATTGTCATTGGCTGTCTTGTAAAATGAAGACTTGAGTGTGGGTTTCCCGTCACTGGTTGAGTTGTCGTCCTCATGACGCGTGTCGTATTTCTAGTTTGAGATCTGCTTTCTTGTGGCGAGGTCATTATAAAGCCAATATAAGCCAAGTGCCAAAACTTGCCGACAAACATTAAACACACATACACAGAGATTATTACATACACACACACGCACAAACACACACATGTGTGTGTGTGTGTGTGTGTGTGTGTGTGTGTGTTTGAATAAAGAAATCTTTTTCTTAGCCGACGCCTTTCATCTCTGATAAACTTTATCAAGGCTAATGTTAGAATTTTATTCTTCAACAAAATTTGTTGGAAAATAAAAACCGTACATTTTCCTTGATAATGTCAACCAGAGACTGAAGGACATTTGTTTGACAAAGATATTATTAGTTATATCTGAATTTTTATACACACATACACACACACACACACACACACGCATATATATATATATATATATATATATATATATATATGTATATATATATATATGAAGATAAGGATAAATCAAATGAGCGGATATAAGCAATCGTATACGTGCATGTTGGCGTGTATAGAAAGGCAAGCAAATGAATAATCATCATGTGCCCGATGAGCTGGAAAACCAGCGAAACATCTAAACGTAGGTATATATATATATATATATATATATATATATATATATAAAAGGGTGACAATAAAGTCACTGTTACTTACAATCAATAACAATTAAGATAAAGCAATTAATCAACAGTCCCAAAAATTATTATTAAAATAGTTCTGATTAATTCTGGTTAATAACAATAAAATGCTATGGCAAAAATAGTAAATTAATTACCGATACTTTTCGAACTGCAAGCCATCTGCTTCGATGCTTTGCCTTTTGGTGCAACAAAACAACACATGCCCACGATCGAGGGATGCTACGAATTTTATATTAATTAATTATATATTATGATTGTCGATGAAGTATGTGGCTATTACCACTTGTAGGAAAAACGTTATATAGAATCGGTTTTGTTATTTCGTTTATTTTGAATTCCTAAGGATACAGTAAGTAACATTTCCAATAACATCATCTTTATATAATCAATAAGCAGTCGTCTTATACTACAGGTAGAAGATAAATTCAGGAAAATTTAATATATTTTATCGTCTTATCTAAAGGTTGCCTTATACGCGGGAATATACGGTATATATATATATATATATATATGTGTGCGTGCGTGTGTGTGTGTGTGTATGTGTGTGTGCGCGCGCGCGTGTGTGTGTATTTTCCGTCAAAATGGATACGTTTTTCTATTTTAAAAAGTTTAGCAAAATTTATCCGTTTTAAATGAATTTTCCAACATTTATTCTTTAATGAATAATTGTATACTGCACAGGTTATTTTATTATAAGGCTTCTCTATATCTCTATATATATATATATATATATATATATATATATATATATATATATATATATATATACGCTCCGTTTATTTATTAAAGGGTATATTTATCCATTTTAGTCTATTGGCCTGATTATTCAAGTAATCTTATTAGAGAAATCTATGCGCTCTCCGGCAGGATTCGAACCTGTGTCGACTTGAGTCGGGGGGGTACTTTCGTTAGATCCGATGAACTTTAGACAAACTCGCTCACATCTTTTCTTTAATAAAATTTCTCGAATATTCAGGCCAGTAGACGAAAATAAATAAATATTCAGTTTAATAAAGAAATGGAGCGTCTACTCAGTTATGAGCATCCATTAAAAATACCGTTTAATGTGATAATATATATTAAAAATCTAAAAGCGGTTTAATTCAAATGAGATATGACCGATAAAGCAGTTTAATTCTGATGAGATTGGACCGATAAAGTGGTTTCGCTCTGATGGGAGCGGTCCGTTAAAGAACTTTAGCTCTGGCGACTTTTGGTTGTTTTTGTTTAGCGGCATTAAATAAACTATACAGGTTGATATGCTACTCCCATCAAAGCTAAACCGCTTTATCGGTCCGATCTCATTAGTACTAAACCGATTTATCGGACCATGCTTATAAGAACTAAATCACTTTATCGGTCCTATCTCATCACAGCTAAAACCGCTTTATCGGCCGTCTCTCATCAGAACTAAACCGCTTTATCAGTCCTATCTCATCAGAGCTAAACCGCTTTATCGGTACTCTTTCATCAGAACTAAACCGATTTATCAGTCCTATCTCATCAGAGCTAAACCGCTTTATCGGTACTCTTTCATCAGAATTAAACCGATTTATCAGTCCTATCTCACCAGAGCTAAACCACTTTATCGGTACTCTTTCATCAGAACTAAACCGATTTATCAGTCCTATCTCATCAGAGCTAAACCGCTTTATCGGTACTCTTTTCCCAGAACTAAACCGCTTTATCAGTCCTATCTCACCAGAGCTAAACCACTTTATCGGTACTCTTTCATCAGAACTAAACCGATTTATCAATCCTATCTCATCAGAGCTAAACCGCTTTATCGGTACTCTTTCATCAGAACTAAACCGATTTATCAATCCTATCTCACCAGAGCTAAACCACTTTATCGGTACTCTTTCATCAGAACTAAACCGATTTATCAGTCCTATCTCACCAGAGCTAAACCGCTTTATCGGTACTCTTTCATCAGAACTAAACCGATTTATCAGTCCTATCTCATCAGAGCTAAACCGCTTTATCGGTACTCTTTTGCCAGAACTAAACCGCTTTATCAGTCCTATCTCACCAGAGCTAAACCACTTTATCGGTACTCTTTCATCAGAACTAAACCGATTTATCAATCCTATCTCATCAGAGCTAAACCACTTTATCGGTACTCTTTCATCAGAACTAAACCGATTTATCAATCCAATCTCGGTACCAGAGCTAAACCACTTTATCAGTCCCATCTCATCAGAGCTAAAACCGCTTTTGTCTCTTTCATCAGAACTAAACCGATTTATCAGTCCTATCTCACCAGAGCTAAACCGCTTTATCGGTACTCTTTCATCAGAACTAAACCGATTTATCAGTCCTATCTCATCAGAGCTAAACCGCTTTATCGGTACTCTTTCATCAGAACTAAACCGATTTATCAGTCCTATCTCATCAGAGCTAAACCGCTTTATCGGTACTGTTTCAAAAGAACTAAACAGCTTTATCGGTTCTCTCTCATCAGTGCAAAACTCGAGTACAAAAATGTGTACGACTAAAAATAGTTTGTTTTTTTCTTAAAGAAAAAAAACTGTATCTGGAAAATTGTTAGAGTTAAAAAAAAAAAAAACATTTACGCGGCGTGATGACTGATTTTTTATCCCACAACCCCATCCCACTGGCTAAACTCTGCTAACCTCCCGATACTTTAACAGTATTCTCATGGTAGATGTTCGGCTGAGCTGCATTCCTTTGTTCCACCATGGCATACCTACACATCTAGGACCCGCTGGTGTCAACAGTTATCTATTCTACATATCCCCATAATATGCATTTCTTGCTCCCTCAATTTACATCTTTATAACAACCATATTCAGTAATCCTATACCTTGAGTTGTTCTTCGGCTTTGTATTTGGCCTACAATAATATAAAAATGATCACTACCACACTATATTGAACTATATCCTCACTGGGTGGCTTACGTTTCTTGCTTTGAACTAAGCCTTACGAAGGGACAGCTGCTAAAAATATTCTTGCATGCCATTACTACTGTAGTGAGGTCGATCCTCAATAGGTGTCCTTACAACAACCTCGCTTAGTAACTCTCAACATTGATGGCTTTTGAGTTTAGTATGGACCGAACGTGTGACCAACGAAGTAGTTTTAATGAAATTGGAAACAAAAAGGACACTCATATTTAACATCAGAAAGAGACAGCTGAAATTCAATGGCACATAAAGAGGAAAGATGACATAGAAAATTTGATACTCACAGGGAATATTGAAGACAAGAGTGACAGGGGAAAACAGCCTTTAACCTAGTCCAAAAATTTAAATATCTGGGAAGTGATTTAATAGAGGACGTAAAGTGCGAGGCCGAAATCCGAAGACGCACTGGGGTAGCAAAAGACGCCTTCCCTAAACTAAGCAAAGTATCACGAAACAGGCAAAATTTCATTAGAAACAAAGAAAAAATTACTAAACTGTTATGTAATATCAGTTTTCCTATATGACAGTTAATGCTGGACAATCTCCTCACAGATGAAGAAGAGATTTGAATCTACAGAAAGATGCTGAGAATACCATGGACTGAACATGCAAACAACGAGGAATTTTTAAAGATAATGGAAGGAAAAAAAAGAAACTTATACTTAATATCAGAAGGAGACAGATGAAATTTAATGCCATATAATAAGGAAAGAGGGCTTGGAAAATTTGACACTCACAGGACAGATTGTAGGCAAGAGGGACCGAAGAAAACTGCGTACAACCTACCTAACGTGTTTGTGTAAATCGTTGGCAGAACAGAGTTTAGGGGAGATAGCAAAATGACTACAAAGGACTGGAAAATGTGGAGAGTCATGATCAATAATGTTCTGAAGTGACATGGCATACTGAAGAATAAGAACTGGGTAAAAGTACTTTCACATTGGCCGGAATTACTTTATTTCAGATCCTGCTTGTTTATAATTTAGACATG